AAAGTAAGAATGAAATATAATGGCTTAACAACTTATGACCAATCCAATCCCAAACTCGTAATGTTATTCAGAACACTGAAAGGACTATTACAATCGATGATGTTTTGTTTGTAAACGATATCCATTTCTTTTTCGTGGGATTAAACAGTTCGATCGATTGACTAATCTGGTAAGAATAACCCAAATAGATTTTTTAGTCATGTCAATGTTCTGTCTTTTTTAATGTCATCGGCCTTTTGATAATAGCATTTAATGTGGAAGTATGTTTTACGTGGAAATTATCAGGCGCCTTTGAATCCAAACATGAAAGTAAGTAGTATGTAAAATTAACATGTGCATCATACGTACATACATACATCCCGTCCACGTTCACACACCACATGTTACGTTATATTATGCAAACCCCTTATATAATGTCTAATCTATACCTTTTTTAAAGAATTGTCTGGAAGTAAGGTGAGTCTGATGAAATATATTTCACCCGATTCCCATCTATCCCAGGCTAGTCTCAAATTCATTATTATTCATTGTATTACTACAGCGTTGGAAACGGTGTTTGGATAAAAGAAATGGCATCGTAAGTGTTCTACATACAAAAAATTATATAATATTAATTTATATAACGGGTTAATTATTTTGCCAATTTTTTTTTCCAGTCAATTTCCCGATTGTCATTTTGAAGGGATTGATCTTGATCTCTCAATATCAAACGAAGATCTTCCAAGTAATTGTACGGTTACGAAGGGAGATTTTACAGGTACATACGGACCATTAACGTTTAACGTTAGAGCCATAACAAAGCAATATATTTTTTTTATTAACGAGTTTGGGATTGGATTGGTCATAAGTTGTTAAGCCATTATATTTCATTCTTACTTTCCTTATTGGTCATAACTGTATGCTTTCCAGCCCTCCCTTATCCAGATGATCACTTTGATTACATACATTGTAGATTGTGTTTCACTTGGTTGCCATCTAACAAGATTGGTCCCATATTGGATGAATTCAAAAGAGTAACCAAGTCTGAAGGTTGGATCGAGGTAAAAAAAGTTTATCGGTTTATCATTGTGACCCTTTACGCATCAAACTCTTAATTAAACCCTAACAATCATTCTGTTCCCCACTTTAAAAAAAAAAACCAGATATTGGTAAGAAGCGACCAGGAAATGCAAACTTTGTCATTGTATAACCATAATCGAATGTCTCGTGGCTTTCGCTTGGAAAATTTTACTCGACAGTCTAGAACAAATGATGACAATTGTTTTTTACTGTATAGGAACTCGATCTCTACCCACGCAATACTGGGACGCATTATGATAGCTGGAAAAGCACATGGAAATTACTCAACGACAGCAAATTTTATGATGTAAAAGTAATCAGATCGCTCGGCGAATCTCTCAGGACGCGCAATCTTGTTGATGTCACCGATCATTCATTCTCAATGCCTATCGGAAACTATT